CAATGAAATACTGGTTTTGTAATAAAACTTGCTGGGGTACCCAGCTTCACTCAGAGAGTTGATATGAGATTTTGTGGTAGTTGGAATAAAAGGATAAACTTTAAAATATGAGGTAATTTTTTGTAATTGAAAATATATTCTAGCTGTTTACATACTTTGTTAATTGTTTATAAACAGCATTTTTAATTTTGTTATCCATGGTACATATGTACAGATTTTTCAAATTTCCTACTCAAGAGCAAGCTACATATAGCTGATCGTGAGAAAAGCAAGAGCCTTTGAGGTTGATGCCACAATGTTTTACAGTTTGTCCTTAAGCTTTGTTAATTGTAAAACTATAGGCTGATTTGATTAGAAATTGCAGTCTTTTAAATTGGAATGACAGTTCAGTAGATATCGGTGGTATTCTGGGGATAATTACTGTATGTCCTCCAGTCATAAGTTTGGCTTCGATGATGTTATTCGATAGCTGTTTGATGACCATCCTTGTACCATTACATAGTTTTGGTGAGTTGAGATTTTTGAGTAGTATCATTGGAGATCCAATTTTCAGTGAAAGCATGAGCGAAATGTGCTGTTTTGTCTTTCTAATAAAATAGAATAGCTCAAAATAAATAGTTCAACTCTCATATTTTTTGTTAGTCGCAGTATTTGTATGTGCAGCCAGAGATGTGATTTTTTTAAGCATGCATTGATTTCATCTGCTGATGGCTTGATAACTAGAAGTGTTTGTTGAAAATCTCGAGAGTGTAAATAGAAGAGCTCCTCCCATCACATCAGAGTTTTCTCGCAAGTCTTGTAATGTTCTGTCTGTGGCTTCAAGCGATTTTTTATGCGGCATTGTGCATTTGTCCCAGAAGATAATTTTAGCTTGTTTTAGAAGCTACCTCGTCCAGATGCTCTTGAGATTTTACATACCGAGAATTGTTCTTCGGCTATATTCAACGGTACTTGTAGGACGGAATGGGCAATTTGTCCTCCTTCTTAAGTGTAATGGCAATGCCGGATGATGCCAGTGCAAGTGCAATGTGTTATTTAGCACATATTTCTGCCAGCAATAGGTTTATTAGAAATGTTTTATTGGTGCTACCTGGTGCATTCAAATAAATAATTCCGCCAGTGTTGTTAATTTGGTTCATGGTAATATTGATTTTTTTTTTTTTTTTTTTTTTTTTTTTTTTTTTGGATTGTCACTGAGGAGTGGTTTATTTTGAGCTGTGTATTGAAGTAGTTTGTTGATGTTGTAGTTTTTTTCCTTTGTAATTTCAAAGTTTAGCACTCTGAAAGCATCCTGTCATGGTACTGACATCCTAAGTTGTACTTAGGTCCCTTTTTTTTTTTTTTGCTAAACATTTATCGTCTAGGCGAATGAGTTTTCCATTGAAGACATTGTCGTTGAATTCAATGACCAGTTCTGGATGAACTAGATTTGGTACAATCATACTCATACTCTCTTTGAAGGAATCCTATAGCTGTTTTTGATTCAATGGGTTACATGTTGTTACAATTATGGTGGATAAGATTCTGATTTGTTCAGCTGAGGTTTCTTGTAGTGTTAAACCCCACTAGTTGTCATTTTTTAGTAGTCCTAAGCATTGCCATGCTTCTCTGTATATGTGGCATAGGTAACCCTCAACAGTCTTGAGATCTGTGAAACTTGTTAGTCCCTATTTTGTGTAGCAGCATCTGGAGAGGAAATATTCAGTGTTATTTGCATGTATGGCGTATACTGGGCTTAGTGCGTTAGTTTTTCATGATTCCTGGAAGATCCTGTACTGGAATTCCTTATTTTAATGTTTGAAAGATTTCTCCTGCTGTGTTCCACATATAATAGGTAAAGACATCAACATATAGTAATGTTTTTGCAAATAGATCCATTTGGCACAGTTGTGAGAAAGCTCTTAATGCTATGTTCTTAGGTGGTTCGCTTGCAATTTTTCTGGCAGTGTCTTCTGTAAAGTAAATTATCTATCCATTCTCCAAATGTCTGCTAGATGTTGCACAGTTGGTTTAGGTTCATGTATGAGAAAACTGAAAATCCACCACGCTGCTTTGTTACTGCTGATGTATCTTCCCATTTGGTACATGTGGATCTCGTCATTTCTGTTTTGTTGCTCACTGTCTTTGGCAATTTGAAATACTTACATATCACTGCCTTTCTTCACATACTTACAGATATATTTAATAGATTTCACTGAATTGCAGTATTCTATATTTATGTGTGCTTGGAACATTTTGGAAAGTAGTGAGTTATATGGTGCTACCCATTGATTGCCTACTTCCAGCTCGTCTGTGCCTCATATTCATATTTTTGCCACGAAGCCACCATTTTGAGGTGATCATCTTTTATGTTTGGGATAGCCATCATCGCCAGTTTGTATGTCATCTAAGTATGGTTTTGGGTATTTTTTCGTACATTTTCCTTCACTCATACATGGCAAATTGAGGTTTAATGGCCCGCATGGAATGTGAATCATGTTTTCTATAACTGTGTTGTACAGTTCTGGATCTTGTGGATTGGAAAATTCAGCTTGGATGATTTTGTCAATACTTGTGGGATGAATTCTGTCGTGTAGCCATATGAGATTGTGTGAGTGAGGCAATCCTCATTTTTGCTATTTGATTGTGTACATCCAACATCTAATGGTTCCAAAGATGTGGTATTTTGTGATGACTTCAACTAATCTCATTTGTTTTTGTCAGAAAACTCTGGCTATTTTGTTGTATCGATCCACGAAGGCTTGTCCGTACTTTAGTTGTTCTTTGAGTTCTGACCACGATGAGTTACATGTGAATGTTATGAAGAGGTCAGGTCATCCATATTTTCTTACGTAGGTCATGACATCTTGAGTGCATTCGTACATATGTCTCGGACTTCCTATGTAAGATGATGGTAAGATAACCATTGTTCCAATGTTATCAATGTTTCCATCATGTATAATCGTGTCTCGAAGGTGAATGTATTCTTCGGTGCATAGTTTCTTTTGACTCAGTCTTATGTAAAGCTTCCGTTCCGTTCCACTTCTGTTTTTGCATACGTATCTACTAGGAACTGTTGAAATAAATTGCAAGTTTTTAGAATATGATTATATGTTTCATTGTCTCTGATCATTAAGCGATAAGCATAGAACTCCTTGGAATTTTTGTTTGTTTGTGTGCCTGTTTTCAGGTTTGATTTGTTTCACATTAAAAGTCGTGTCGAACCTCTCCGTGTAAAGCCGTCGTAAAGCCTCTCCGTTTGAAACATTAATGGATATTGGAGGGCATCATATGAACAGTGTATCTCTGAACATTGTAGTCCTTCTCTTCTTCATTGTACAATTATACCATGGCTTGTGTTTTCATTGCCCACAGTTATGATGGTGACTTTTTATCTGAAGTACATTAAATCAACGTTCATGTTCTCCAGATGGTCTCTTGTCGGGTTGAATTATAACTTTATAATCATCAGAAAGCATTCAGTTATAGTGCTGTTTTAAATATGGGAATAAGTTGATTGTATTTGTGAAAGATCCCCTGTACATTTTGGATATTATTTCTCATCTCAGTCCACTGTTGTTTGTGCATCATTGATCAATTTCTCTTTCTTCATCTCCGATGAAATATACTTGCAGAAATTTATAGTCTTCGTTGAGTAGTGGTAGTATTGATCCCATTTTGTTATAGATTTGTCCTTGCATGGAAGAAACATAATAGATTTTATCTCTGTTAGCGTTGAGCAAAGTGACACTAAAAGAAGTCATATGGAAGCAGGCATTGTATGCTCTTATATTTTGAATAAAGTGCTTTGGTTTTGAAGTTGGTTTGAATGTAATGTACAAATTCCTGCGAAGGTGCTTTCAATGGTGGTAATCGAATTTTTCCATTCATACTGTAAATTCTTGGTGTTTCTCTATTGAATTTTCTCACATTGCAAAATTGGCAGATGTTATCCATTTTACCAATTACGATGTGTTTTTTATGTTGTTTTGTCAGGTCATAGTAGAATGTTTCATTTGTTAGGTTGTACAATTTATTTATCTTCATCTGTGCCTCTCATAGGGTGATATTTTCATGGTTAGTTTGCATTCACAGTGTTTTCTAAGATTGTGTCACAATTCTTGATTCTTCAATTCGTTCATTTCGTTGTTCTTTGGTTTCTCTGTTTGTCATGGTGTTCATTCTCCTTCGTTGGGAACGTAAACATGCTTTGCGTTCTTCGACTGTTTCGTGTTTTCACTGTTCTTTTTGTTTTCGCTGTTTTGCTTCAGAATTGGTAAGATCTCCTCCTCTTTTACGTTTGGGCTTTCTATAAAATATAAATTGTATTAACTTTTTATTAAGAAATACACAAAGTACACTTTACATATTTTTCATACTTTATTTTTGATTTATATTCAGTCACTATATCACTTTCATTACTCACACTTCACCGTTTGTTTTTATTCACCCACTGCACTCCACTGATAAGAAACTAATGTTTGAACCCACGACGAATCTTCCTTTACATAAAAGGGCTTTGAATTGTCCACAATGTTTCACAACATTTGAGAGTGTTCCACAATGATCTGGGATGTTCCCAAACATTCTAGACTATTCCTGAACATTCCACAACACTCCAGAATGTTCTTGAATGCTTTCAAATGTTCTGGACTGTTATAGAAATTTCTAGAGGGCAAAACTTCCAGCCCTTATATCTTCAAAAGCATGCTCTTCAGGTAAAATGGGAACCTTCTTCATGGATGGGGCATAGAAGGCTACCACACCATATAACTCCCTTGATGGTACCGGGACTCCTTTCTGAGTTTTAGTGGCATGTACATTGTACACTTACTTTTATAATATATATTGATTTAAATATCAGAACATATCCTTCAAAGTAGGAAAGGTATTTGGAAATAAGCTGAATTTTTGTGTAAAATAAAATGGCAAATAGAAAGAGGGGGGCATCTCTTAAAGAGAAATGGATATCATATTAGTTATAATAATTGCAAAAAGTTATAAAATTTGTTATCTTTTAGTTAGACCACCTGCACCTCCTATGCCAAGGCCTGTATTGCCTCGGGAAAGGACCTTTGTGGATAGGATAGTTGATTATTTAGTAGGGGATGGACCATCAAACCGATATGCCTTAATATGTCGACAATGCCAGTCTCACAATGGAATGGCTCTAAAAGAAGAATTTGAATTTATAGGTGAGTTTATCCTGTTATTACAATTAGTTAATTTTATGTACACCTTGCACAAAAAGAAATGGGACAGTTCTATATCTCCCATTCTACTGGACTGATTGTCATAATTTAACTTGCATTATTCAATTCATAAGAGAATCAAGGGCTTACTAATAATTATGAGAAACAGTAGCTTCTAGCAAAAATTCATTTAAATAAAGATTAAACAGTAGTTGATCAATCATAAATTAAGATTAAACAAAGGCTACTTATTTTGGTTGTAAGCTTTCTAGAGAAAAATGCTAGAGGTTTGAGTCCTTGTTTAGTAACTCAGTTTAGAGATCTGCCAATAGCGTAGTCAGATGCATTGACTTGTAGAATGATAGATCATTTGTTGAAGGATATGCTAATAATGTAGCATTTGCTAACTGTTTAGCATTTTCAAAAGCTTTGCATGTTTGCACAGACCAAGGAATTTTTCGCTTGTCATTCTTTTTTTAACCTTTTAAATATTCGCTGAATAGTGCTGGAATATGTGCTGCATGTAGCAGATACCTACAGTGAAAATTTAGTAAGCCTAAGAACTTCCTAAAGTCTTCAACAGTTTCTGATTTTTTGAAATTCAGGATTGCGTTTACCCATTCGGGTAAAGGTTTAGTGCCATCCTTGTTTATTAAATGGCCTAATAATTCTATTTCAGGAACTCTGAAAACACATTTTGAAGTTTATAACTTAAGTCCATATTCCTTTAGTTTGTGTAAAACTTCGGAAATGTGTTGTTTTTAAAGTATTTCGTGTTTTGAGAAAACTAAAATGTCATCTAGGTATGTGTAACAAAAATCTAGTCCTTGTAACACTTTGTGCATGAACCACTGAAACGTTTAAGCAGCATTTTTGAGTTCAAAATTTAAATAAGGAAAATCAAAAAGACTGCGAGGGGTAATTACCACTGTTTTAGGTGTGTGTTTTTCATAGATGGGTATATGATGATAAGACCTTGCAGTGTCTAATTTAGAAAAAACTGTTTTGCTATGAAGATATTGAGAGAAATTTTGTGCATGGATATGAATCAAAAACTGAATTAAGTGCTGTGTAATCTCCAACTGGTCTAATGCCAGTAGGCGTTTAGCTGTGCAGTTGAATTTGCAGATGGCCCAGCAGTTAACATGAAGATGCAGATGGATTGCTGTATAGCTGTCGAAAAGTTCATAATAGTTGAGGTTGTTAATGCAGTTGTCAGTCCTTGGTCACCCACTGGAGGGATTTGGTGACTACCTTTTCAGTCGATCTTCTTTCTCGCTCTTCTCCAAAGGGATATCCAGGAATTTTTTATAATTAATTGAAGATAATCACTATTCATTCTAAAAGAAGGCACTTCTATAATATAATATATGTTTAATTTACGTTACATCTTTCATTGAAACATCCATTACGAGTTCAGTTATAGTTCTGTTTTTATTTTGGCCCCCATGCATGCACAAATCACATGGTGTTTGGTAAGAGTTTTAATGGCAAGAGTTCCAACGTGCACAAATTGACAAATAAATAGAGAATACCACATAAATTCTGCAAACAGTTATATTACCAAGTTACTAAAATTCATCAATATTATACTATAATAAATCATATACAAGCTACATCCAATTATGGGAGTGGAGATCTAAAGCTATAAGATCTTTCTTTTTTCCCTGGTTATGATTTAAAATTTGGATTTTGCATCATTCAACATAAAACTTTTCTAAAATTTCAGACCAATAATGCCATATATAAAAGATATAAGATAAATATATCAGCTTATGATATTGTCAGGAGTAAAATATATCAGCTTATGATAAGATATTGTCAGGAGCAAATAAAAGGTTAATTACATAACTCATATTTTTTAACATCATTTTATGTTTAATGTTTAACATTCTGATGGATATAGATTATATAAATACAGTCAAAAGTCGTTAATCCGGGCACCCATAATCCAGAATGATCTATAATCCGGACCTCAAAGCTACAAACTTTCTGCGCATGCGTCAACGCATAATGCGTGAGGTATGCACACAATACGTTCACGCATGCGCATAATACGTTTATGCATGCGTGTTTAATGTATAACGGACGGTATAAGCTAAGCTAAAATTATCTAATTATCTATTTCTATTTCAGTTAATGTTGCAGATTGTGTTGTTCCTTAATCTTCGAATTGGAACTGGTTTATTATTTTTTGCAGACTGTTAGAGCAATTTTATAAAAGTAAGTTGGAACTTTCGATTATGTTAAATAGAATTTCCGATGCTGGATCTACAAAGGGAAAGCATTTTTCGATGTCTATCAAACAAAAAGTGGAATTGCTGCAAAAAATGTATAAAGGCTCCTTTGTTTCTCTAACCATTCTGAAATTTGTTTATCAATTTCACGCGGGGGGGGGGGGCGTCGCGGCACGTAATGAACTGGAAGTTGATCTGTCAGCACTATCCTTATCTTCAGGGCAGGTGTTTTTATTTTATTCAGCTTATAATGTAGTATTTCATCTCGATGTACTCCATCTTTGATATGATTTAAATCAAATTCCTTGTCATTATAAATATCACGAATACAAATCAAATAGTTTTCTGGTTGCAATTTTCTAATTTTGACTATGCGTAATGTATGCTTTATGCATGTGCGCGTTGAAAGAAATGTTTAATAAAGTAAACAAATAAATATTAAGCTTTTTTTTTTTTTTTTTTTTTTTTTTTTTTTTTTGTAAATTTTGATACCCCTTAGATAATAATTGCTCTTTATTTCATAAATTGCGGTTTCATATTTTTAATTTTATAATTTCTGCATGCCATCTTACCAGATTTAAACTGATGATCTATAATCCGGAATTGCCGAAGTCCCGACGAGTCCGGATTAATGACTTTTGACTGTATAAGCTCTACTGGAAAGTTTTATCTGATAATGTTGTTTCAAATTTCAACATATATGCAGGTATTCTTTTGAGACATATATGGCTGTCTCACTTTATCAGTGCATTTATAAACTTCTGCTTTTCTAAATTAACCAAAACAAAAGTATATCATATTATTATTGAGACGCGATCGTGTAAACATAGAATTCTGTCAAAATTTAGTTACAGTTTTTGGTGGAGATATAGTTTTGAACAGAATGTGCTGAAGATAATTAAAAAAAAGTTGAAGCTGCAAACAGTTATTTCGACCTTAATGATAAGCTATGCTCTAGGTGGCCATCTTATATCGATAATAATATTGTCAAGATCATGGTAGGCAAATACCCTTTTTTGTCAATATTGGAGATTGTAGAAGAGCTTTAAGCTCAACAAGCCATATTCCAGATGATACGTTATGAGAGAAACGTTTGCATGATTGGATCATCATATGCATATCTGTGCTTGCTCAGGGGGGGCTGGGGAAGTAACTCATTTTGAACCAGATGATAACTTGGGATGAAAACTGGATTACCTCTAAAAGCACTGTTAGAAAAAGAACATACTATGAGCTTGGACAACCTGCCCCTTCTACCTCTAAACCAAGTTGAACTTGAATAATAGAATGTTGTGTGTGGTGGGACGTTCAAGGGATTAATATATTACAAGCTTTTGAAACCTAAAGTAAAACTTACTTCAGAGAAATACTGTCAGCAGATGAACAATTTAAATAAAGCAGTCAAGGAAAAGAGGCAGGTGATTTTCAATAGGAAGTACATCATACTGGACAAGATAATGCCAGACTACATGTCATTTTGGTGACTTGTCAGAAATTTACAGAGCTAGGCTGGGAAATTCTACTGCATCCTCCGTACTCCCCAGACCTAGCATATTCTGATTATCATTTGCTTCTCTCCTTGCAAAATATTTTGAAAGGAAAAAAATTAAAAACTGAAGCAGTTGTCAGACAAGCACTACTTGAGTTTTTTCTCTCTAAAGACAAAACAAAAATGGTATCTACTAATTGCCATCAAGTTGGCAAGAGGTGAAAAGCAGTGACAAAAATTCTATTGTATGACAAATTTTATTAAAGGTTTTAAATATATATTTTCTTTCACTTTCCAATTGGACACAATTTTCCAGAATTGATTCTGCCCTCTTCTGATAGATATCATTAGTGGTGCTACTTGCATGCAACTGGTTCTGGATATACTTGATTTAAAAGGTATGATAGCAGCTTTTTAATAATTAGTATGTGACATTGTTTAAAGTCTAAACAGTAATTACATCCTTAAAAATGATAAGGTTTGAGCCCCTCCTTCAAAAATAAGTAAAAAGTATTTTGATGAAATTTTACTTGTTTGCTTTGCAATAAAAAGGTTGTTTTATTGCAAAGAAAATTAAAGCAAAGCTTACCATTTTCTTTTAGAAATTTATGATAAATATAGTCCAACAAATTAAACTTGCAAAGAGTGGTTTTCACAATTTAAAAAATATCAGTTTGGCGCACATAAGAAGGAAAGCATATGGGAAAACACCAAATAAATTTAAGCTCGTACAACTGAATCGGACAGTTACTTGATTTGAGCAAAATATTGAAGGGAAAAAATCCAAAGTATACTGAAAGAAATGTCAATGTTATTTTTGTACATGGCAACATTTGTTTATATGTTGCCAGATCATTAAAGGATACTTTAAGACCACTTCACTGAGCTAAGTTGCCCCACCTCTGTTATTCAGCAGATGTTGCTCCTTCTGATTACAGTTTGTTTTAATCCATGCCGAGCGGCCTTTTTGGAAAGCAAGTCTGTTCTTATGAGGATATCAAAAATTGGCTTGATGACTGGGTTGTTTTGAAATAACCAGACTTCCCTCTTTATGGAATCTATTTGTTATTTGACTGATAGGGAAATGCTGTAGCTTCTTATGGAAAATACTTTGAATAAGTTTTTCTTTTATTTTGAAGGGAAGGGGTTTTTATTTATTCAAGGAAGGGCAAAATCATATTTATATATTCAATAGATAAAGTGTGTTGTTTTGGGTAAATCTTGTATTGGCTATGGCATATCCAGGTATTTAATTTACTCCTGCAGCTTATTTTTACTTTACATTATCATTTTAAAGCATTGTTCATGTACTTTCTTGTTTGTTCTTCTAATTTGTGAATTTGATTGTAGTACTATTTTACAAAGCTTTCTGTTCATAATTTTGTAATAGTTTATATGTATGATACTGCATGCATATCTGTGTAAATAAATATCAATTATATAAATTACAAATCTGCAAGACGATATAGCTGCAGCTATTTTATTATCATCATTAAATCATCTGTTGACATTTTAAACATGTATCTTGCTAAGTATGAATCTAAATATTGCTGATATGCAGCTGTGGTTTATTTACTTTCCATTAAAGCAAAGAATATTTCTTGAGAAGTTTTGGAAAAGCAATTAAGGAAAATTTTTGTATTAATATTTAATTCAAGAAACTTCAGAAGTATTTCATAAATGTGTTGTGTCTATGAGAGAGAACTCTCTTTCCTGTTTAAAACATCTTCAGAACTTTATTACAATTTGATATTTATTTTCCGGTCTTTATCGTGATTATTTAATTGTTAAATAAGGTGGAGAAGTAAGCTACTTGTATGAAAATTTCCATAAGAATATTTTTTTCTGGTTACATTGCTTTTTTTTGTAACTTATTTCCTATTACCTAATATTTTGTTCTGTAGCATCTAACTGAAAGAAAAGAACTGATTAAAACATTTTATTATAGCATTCAGATGTTGTTATTGTTTCCACTGGAACCCACCAAGAAATCAACAGCCTCCTCCTCCAAGATTGTCTTTGCCTGCTCCAAGTGCTCCTGCAATTACAGAAGCTACATCTGAGATTTCTTCTAGCAGTGGTATGTTCTTTTTTATGCATTCAACCTTCTGTTTGTGTGTGAAGGGCATGCATATATAAGTCATTGGAAAGTTAATGATTGCTGGTGAAAGACATATACAATGAATTCCCTCCAAGAAAACACCCACAGCTCCAGATGACTATGAAAATGAGAATTTCAATAGTAACGTTATGAGGTTATTCTCAGTGCTTGATATTTTCAGAAATTTCATCTTTTGGAAATGTCGCCATGACAGGGTTTACTGTGCATATGATTTCACAAATCCATTGAACGTACATGAAAGGTATAGGTTATATGCCCAGTAAATATTGTTCCACATAGTACTCTTTTACTAAGCCATCCTTTTTTAAATTGTGAGTCAGTTCAGCGCATGAATATAAAGAAACATTAGTCATAATTCTTCACTGATTTAATATATTGTATTTTCTGTACAGAGAAATCATAAAATCGTAATACTGGTTGAGCTGTAAATTATTATTATATATTCAAAAATACTACTAAGCACATCATTATAGTGTTGTCACATTGAAATTTCAGCATATGAATTATTTCAGAACCAAAATATGCCACAAACACACTATACATGACATACTGTTCCACCATAGGCATGTTAAGAATAAGGTTGGCAGCACTGTGACTAGTGTAGTGATAAGTCACCATTGTGACTTTTTTAGCATAGTTAAATTGTTTCTGTTTCATCACAACAAGTATGTACATTATTATAACAGTGCAATATAATGTCTTATTGGTTTACTTAGGATGGTATTTATTTAAACAATTAAGAGATTATTTATATTTTAGGTAAAATTATTTTTACCAATGAATAATTTGTTAAATTGATGATGCAGATGTCATTGGTACTAAGTCTCTTCAAGCAGGATTTCGTAATCAGAAAGAGACATTTTAGATATGGGGAAAAAATATGATGAAGTATTTCTGCAGTTTCACTTTGCCTTCAACAACTATGATGGTAATAAGCAATCTCTTTGTTTAATTTCCAATAATGTTTGGGCTGTGGAGAGTATGAAACCACTGAAATTAATAAGGCACCTTGAATTCAAGCAATTTATATGTGAATATAACAAAAGATTATATCAAATGATTAATAAGATCTTCAAATAAACAAGAGCAGCATTTTGAGAAATTTATGACTGTTAGCAAAAAAATATTTACTCGCACCATCCGAAGTTTCTTATTAATTGCTAAAAGACATACACCATTTGAGAAGACCTTGTATTACCTGCTGCCATTAGAATGATAGAAATATTTTGTGTAAGTAAAAATAATGATGAAAATCAGAAAATATCTTTGTGAAACCACACTGTCACCTACAGAATTTCTGAAATTAGGGATGACCAGTTCAAGCAGCTTATTATTAAACTTAACTGTCTGACTAGCCCGGATTTTCCCTAAGAAATCATATTTTTCAAAACTACCAGGAAAAAGAATTATTTCTTAATTTTAATATAAAATTACCCCTGGTACTTTATACCTGGATTTATGTACTTTTAATGATTGCCTTAATTTCTTGAGAATATTTTTAACCCATTAACTGCCAAATTTTTATTTCATCAATTTTTATTTTAATTTTTGTTAGTTTACATCTAAATAATAAGAAAAACATGTTTTTCTCATAAATGAGTCAATTTTTTTTCAGAAATTTTAAATTTAAGTCCGATTTCCAAATGGGGATCATGGCTGGTACTATCTACTTTTAATGCCAGCGCTCAAAACTGTCTACGTGTAATTCAACATTACATTTTCCACATTGTTTTCTTGCATTTGTTTTACACACTGCACATTTTCTTTGTTTACCATTTTCGGTCTGTTCAATATAATGAATACCAGATATTCTGATAACAGTAAAAACACAATTAATTGATGCTTTAGTGAAAGAATTCCTTCCATCCTTTTTTCCATCTGAGAGTTCTGAAGATAAAGCAAGATACCCTCTAGCAACCATCCTCCTAAAATCTAGCAATGTAATTTTATCATTTGAAATACAATACAGTGCGGGGGCATTAACCAGTGTTATGTCGATGGCATTCTTCTCAGTTTTACTCCATCGCTTCACCTCTGATATTGGTTCGATAGTTTTATGATTAGACAGAAACCTTACACAACTGTTGTCATTCCACGTGATAGCTAAAATTTCATTACGGGAATTAAATCTGTAGTCATATGCCCGCGTTCTTTTTTACTTATTTCTTTGTCTGTTCATTCTCTTGAATCGAACAGTTCCTATTTCTCTAACGTCAATGTACTGCAAATTTTTTCATCAGAGAAAATCCTGTGAAAAAATTGTCGAAGTAAACTTTATGAGCATTTGGTGTCTGAAGAATAGATACCATCTGAAGGACAACAGATGTCCCAAGCCCACTGATGCTTTCATCATCTCCTAATTTCTTTGATTTGCCTTCATACACTTGAGTCTGATAACAATATCCAGTCTGTGAACAACAGATAGCCCATTGTTTGAACCCAAACCGCACTGGCTTACCACGTATAAATTGTTTGAGGTAGTGATGTCCATAGTAACGAACCATTTGTTCGTCAATGCTCAAACTTTCAGAAAACACCCCAAATTGTTGAAATTTGTCATTCAGCTTGTCAATCAATGGGCGAATCTTGAAGAGGTTATCACGTTCACCTAGTGGAATCCTTTCTAAATCGGAGTTGTCACTGATATGTAGGTACCGTTTAATTTCCAGATACCTATTCCGACTCATGCATGCTCTAACACACAGAATGTTCATGTCTTCATCTTCACACCAATATAATTGTTCTTGCGGAAGTGAATGATAGCCAGTGAAAAGTATTCCAATAAATTTTTAGGCAGTTATTAGTAAAGCTGAAATTGATGATTGTTTTTCTGTCTGGCGTATATTACAGACTGCTGGACAATATAGGTGACAGTTTCATTATCAAAAAGTATTTCAAAACACTCTACCGGGGATTTTCCCCTGAGTTTTCTAATGACATCATTTCGCCTTGTCTCTATAACGTCAGAATTTTCATATAGTTTCGAGTACTTAGGTTGCTTCTTTTTCCAATTGGAAGTCAATACTTCTTTTCTCTTTTTAGCAGGTGGTAAGCCGGTACCTTTTGTTACTTCATTTGCTGAAGATTCAGTTGCATTCACTAAAACATTTTCCTCCTCAAATCCTGCCACACGGTGAATTTCAACACACCCGGGAACATCAAGTGGTTCTTCATCATCAATTACGTTGTCATGCATGTCCTCATTATCTGAAATCTCATCAACCCGCTCTGGTGGAATTTCAACAATATCTATGGGGCTATTATCGTCAGATGCATAAAAATCACCAGAATTTACAATTTCTTCTATTTCTTTTAAAGAAAGATATCTTTTACGCGACATTTCCTGGAAAAAAAGAAAAACAGTTTTTTTTACAATTTTAGTCAGTATCAGCCATGATCCCCAAATGGGGATCGATATATCTAGGTTCATTGTACCCATCCAAATTACAGTATGAGGATAAATAATATATAAATACATTAATTACTTACCAGTGATCGAGGGAAATTAAGTACAACAAAAATAATTGTTCCTAAGTAACATTTTTGTGCTTTGAAAATAACCGTATTATTTTTTTCGTGAAAAGTAACAAGAGAGCAAGAAAAATAAACTCGTGAGCTCAACTGACTGAGTCCACGTGTTTGTTTAAGATTTCTACCCTTAGTTGCAATCTTCAGGAAAGCATGACCACCTGTAAGGGTGGACCCAGGTGCAACATGACGTCACAATGTATACAAATGTAGGCGATCCCGATATGGGGATCATGGCAGGGAATGGGTTAAGATGCACATATATATACATTCTTACAGACATCACAAAATTTATCGTAGACCTTATATGTACAGCCTTACCAGTCAGAGGAGTAAAGAAAGCTCAAAATTTACAATCCAGTTGGATGAAGCTAATGTTATTTGAAAAACATCTCAGTTTTTAGTTGTTATTGTGACTTTATCTTGTTTATCTGATACCAGATTCATCATGGCAAGGAGGCAAGATTGTGCCTGTCATTGGCCAGTCATGGTGACAGTATGACTTTTCAATTCCGCCCCCAGTTTTAAAGGAAAGCACCCTGGAGGAATGGATCCGACCCCTCTTTCCCTATCACCAACCCCTCGAGAGGACTTTTGCTCACCACATATTTAGACTGCCCCCATCCCTTACAGACACCATACATTTACAAACATCTATGCCTTCTCCGGGAGTCGAACGGCGGCCTTTCGGTATGGCAGTCATAGTTGCTAACCACTATCTTGGTTAGGCAGCTCAGTTAATGTATGTCAGATACATTTATAAAGAAAAAATTTTTATTCTGTTGATCATTGGAAAAACATATAAGAGGAGAAGGCAGTAAAGTTGCTGAATTTTTTTAAACTGAAGATTTAAAACAGAAAAATTGCATTGGAGTGGGCACAAATGGTGCAAAAGCAATGATGGGCAGAAATACCAACTTTTAAATCATTTCCTAAAGCTTTATCTCACTTGCTGTATAATACCCAGAAGGAATTTATTGAGCTACTGACTCAAACAAAACTTGAGTTTCTACAGAAATTCTTGATTGACTTTGATCGTAGCCAGAACTGAATTTCACCCATTTCTGAAATGGTATTAAATATTCTTCTGCCTTTCTACAACACATACTTAAGTGAAACAGCTTGTCCAATTATAATGCTTATTTAATCAACATATCCTTAAAATGACTAAAATGACAATTAAACTAAGATTAAATTTGTTATGCAGTAGCAGCAGGCAAAGGGGGAAAGCACAATTGCCTCATTAAAATTTTCTGTTTATTAATTTTGTGTATACTTGCAAGAAATCCTAAAACTACTTTCCGTATATATATATTGTTTACATTTACTTCAAAAAATATTTATGGTAAATATTTATTTTTTATATATTTATTTTATATTTAGTATCTGGGATTATGAAGAATTTTGATGGTTAAAATGGGTTGTGATTG